GGAAAGAGGGGTAGGGGTCATCCTTGAAAGGGTTGGAAAGAGGGGGTAAAGGAGGTTTTGTGGGCGAGGGGCTTGGACTTCCAGCAAGCGCGCATGAGCGTGTTAGATAGGAGTGAATGGAGACGAATGATACTTGGGACCTGACGATCTGTTGGAGTGCGAGCAGGGTAATATTTAGTGAAGGGATTCAGGGAAACCGGTTATTTTCATATAGTCAGACTTGAGTCCTGGAAATGGGAAGTACAATGCCTGCACTTTAAAGGAGGGGTTTGGGATATTGGCAGTTTGGAGGGATATGTTGTGTATCTTTATACGTATATGCTTCTAAACTGTGGTATTCTGAGCACCTCTGCAAAAGCAGTGATAATGTGTGAGTGTGGTAAAAGTGTTGAATAATGATGAAAGTATTTTCTTTTTGGGGATTTTCTTTCTTTTTTGGGTCACCCTGCCTCGGTGGGAGACGGCCGACTTGTTGAAAAAAAAAAATAATAATAATAATAACAACAACAGTAAGGAGAAACTTCAAAAGGCTGCCAGTAGTTGGCACCACCATCAGCAAAACATTGGTAACCTCTGTTAGTACACTTTTCACCTGTCTAGACTTAAGTAGTCTATTAGTATTAGGTTAAGTCTGCCCAAAATGCATCTGCATGATAGTGGCTTTGTTTGCTCCAATCATTATGATATGTAAACACACACTGTAACCTATACAAAGAAATATATATTTTATTCATTTATTTATTTAAGGAACCTCCCTTGAGGGGAAAATTCACGTCCTGAAATTTCCTCCGTATCCAGAAGCAAAAAATTGACTGAACAACAGTTTGTATCCTGAAAAATTTGCATGGCAGGGTGTTCGTAAGCTGAGGTTCCACTGTACTGTGCACAGTCACCACACAAACTCATTATTTTCACATCTAAGGTGCTGTGCTTAAAATATAGATCTGTGTGAGCAACACTGTCATCAGTGACGTAGATCTACGTATGAGACAGTGAAAAAGTTAAAACATTTTTTTTTTTAATGTGAATTAACATATTATGTTTTTGTCAGTCAGTATGATTCTTTGAACTTCATCATACAGTAAAACTTTGTTTTGGTAAAGTAGATCGTCAGATAACATGGTGTCTGTGGTTGCAAAATTGTGACATATTTTTTGTGAATATGCCATAAAGAATATGTTTACATGGTGTAGTACATGTAGAGAAAAATGTGGCATGCACTGTGGTCTTTCACATCTATCTCATAGTGAGCCTCAGGGCGAGTCCATTGTCTTACGGGCTAGAGGGTGGGAGTGAGCGAGCTAGTTGGTAAGGACAGGGTACTGGGTGAAGAACGGTGAGTGAAGTTCTGAGCAAAGGTGTGAGAGTAGCCCATGGGTGCTATGTTCATGCTTGGCTGGTACAATACCTTGGCCACACATCTCCCCACACCCTTAACTGCTCCTTCACTCTCTCCTCATGGCTACATGAGGAGGAGGTGAAGAACTGCTACATGAACTTGATACCTCAACATCTCTCTGTGAGTCCATAGAGACGGAGCAGAGATGCTGTGTGTGCCACTAACAGCAATCTTCAACACATGCATTGAAACTGGGCAACTACCTGAGGTATGGAAGATGGCAAATGTAGTCCCAATTTTTAAGAAAGGAGTCAGATACGAGGCATTAAACTACAGACCAGTGTCACTGACTTGTATAGTATGCAGAGTTGTGGAGAAGATTATCAAGAGGAGAGTCATGGAGCACCTAGAAAGGAACAAGCTTATAAATGACAACCAGCACAGTTTCAAGGAAGGGAAATCCTGTGTCACAAACCTACTGGAGTTTTATGACAAGGTAACAGAAGTAAGACATGAGAGAGAGGGGTGAGTAGATTGCATTTTCTTGGACTGTAAGAGGGCCTTCGACACAGATCCTCACAAGAGATTACTGCAAAAGCTATAGAATCAAGCATGCATAACAGGAAAGGCACTGCAATGGATCAGAGAATACCTGACATGGAGGCAACAACGAGTCATGGTACATTATGAGGTGTCAGAGTGGGCACCTGTGATGAGCGAGGTTCCACAGGGGTCAGTCCTAGGACCAGTGCTGGTTATGGTATATGTGAATGACATGGCAGAAGGGGTAGACTCAGAAGTATCCCTGTTTGCAGATGATGTGAAGTTAATGAGGAGAATTAAATCAGATGAAGATCAGGCAGGACTACAAAGGGACCTGGATAAGCTGTAAGCCTAGTCCAGAGACTTGCTCCTGGAATTTAACCCTACCCAATGCAAAGTCATGAAGACTGGGGAAGGTCAAAGAAGACTGCAGACAGAGTATAGGCTAGGTGGCCAAAGACTGCAAACCTCACTCAAAGAAAAGGATCTTGGTGTGAGTATAATACTGAGCACATCTCCAGAGTCGCACATCAGCCAGATAATTGCTGCAGCATATGGGCGCCTGATAAACCTAAGAATAGTGTTTCCATGCCTCAGTAAGGAATCGTTCAAGACTCTTTACACCGTGTATGTCAGGCCCATACTGAAGTATGCAGCACCAGTTTGGAACCCACACCTGGTCAAGCACATTAAGAAATTAGAGAAGGTGCAAAGGTTTGGAACAAGACTAGTCCCAGAGCTAAGGGGAATGTCCTATGAAGAATGCTTATGGGAAATCGGCCTCACGACACTGAAGGATAGGAGGGTTAGGGGAGACGTGATAATGACATAAAATACTGCGAGGAATTGACAAGGTGGACAGAAACAGGATGTTCCAGAGATGGGACACACAAACAGAAGGTTACAATTGGAAGTTGAAGACTCAGATGAGTCAAAGGGATGTTAGGAAGTATTTTTTGAGTTATAGAGTTGTCAGGAAGTGGAATAATCTGGAAAGTGATGTAGTGGAGGCAGGAACCATACATAGTTTTAACCCTCTGAGGGTCCAAGCCATAGTTCTACGCCTTGTGCAAAGGGTCCAAGAATTTAAAAAAAAAAAAAAAAAATATTTTTTCTTGTGATAAGATAGAGAAACTTTTTCTGAAGGTGATAAAACAAAAATTATGAAATTTGATGGAAAATTAATGGAATTACACCATCGCTAATTTTAATGTGTCAGCACTGTTTATGCATTGGCAATTTTGCTTAATTTGACTCCTATTTTAGGCCAATTACATTATTCCAGTTGACCAAATTCTTAGCTATTTCACTAGTATCACTTCTATTTTATCCATTGAGCACAAGAAACTGCCCAATCAGCTATTTGAACTACCCAATAAAGTGATCAAAAATTGGTAATTTGGCCAATTTCATACAAAGTTCAAAATATTTCAATTTGAAAATAGTGTCCAGAATAAACAATGCAGGCATTCCTGGAACTAAAATAACATTTCCTCTGTTTATTAGTTATGGTTCCAGGCTTTACAGATGAATTCCATTTTGATTTTTTATTCACATAAAGAATTTTATTCACACCAGAAAATAGAAGATTTACTGTTATGCAATATTGTAATAATTGTAAAATAATATCAATGCATTCATGAACATATATCAGACCCACCAGTTGACATGTATTGGGCATGTAACGTCATTCGTTTACTCTTGAACCTAGGCAAAAATCGAGCAATTCTGCTAATTTGAGTTCAATTTCAAGCTGTTTTCATTACTATAACCAATCAAAATCATCTCCATTCCCGTAACATATCTTTCATTCTGAGACCAAGAAACCATGAATACAGCCATAAAAACCATACGAAAATACACCACAAAAATGCTATTTAATCTAAAAACACGGGCACTTTTTTTTTCTCATTTTGCACTGCATGCTGCAGGATTTGTTTTATATGGCACAAACTTACTTCATAGATCCATTCTGTAAAGTAAAAGGACACAAGTGCAACTAATGTGACATTTTATTGTGGCAACGTTTCGCTTTCCAGGAGCTTCGTCAAGCCTTGTAATGGCTTGACAAAGCTCCTGTAGAGAGAACCATTGCCATAATAAAATGTCACATTAGTTGCACTTGTGTCCTTTTACTTTACATATTGTTGGTAATTCTACCAACATATATACATAGATCCATTCTCTCATATCTATGCCCAGATTTACCGCTCACAGCTTATCTGAGTGAGTTGAGCTCATGGCGTAGAACTACAGCCTGGACCCAGGCTTCAAAGCCGTAAAACTATGGGACCGACCCTCAAAAGGTTAAGAGGAGGTTTGATAAAGCACATGGAGCAGGGAGATAGAGAGGACCTAGTAGTGATCAGTGAAGAGGTGGGGCCAGGAGCTATGACTCAACCCCTGCAACCACTAATAGGTGAGTACACACACACACACACACAGAGAGAGAGAGAGAGAGAGAAGGAGAGAGAGAGAGAGAGAGAAGGAGAGAGAGAGAGAGAGAGAGAGAGAGAGAAGGAGAGAGAGAGAAGGAGAGAGAGAGAGAAGGAGAGAGAGAGAAGGAGAGAGAGAGAGAGAGAGAGAGAGAGAAGGAGAGAGAGAGAGAGAGAGAGAGAAGGAGGGAGGGGAGGGGAGGGGAGGGACCTAGTAGTGACCAGCAAAGAGGTGGGACCATGAGCTGTGACTTGACTCATGCAATCATAAATAGGTGAGCACACACACACTCATACATCCATGCATGTGTTTACTCCCTAACTGCTTTTCAAATGGGCACAGACATTATCCACTGATAGCCCTCCAAAATGAAACTTTTTTTTTTTTTTAAGATGCTGGCCATCTCCCACTGAGGCAGGGTGATTTTCCCACCTAAACTCAAGTCTGGTCAACTAGTTTCCTTGGATCCTTTCATTGATGTTACTCTGGTTACAGCCTTACTGTGCCTCAACTCTCCAAAAACCATTTGCTTCCACTTTGTGCTTGCTGGATGTTCAAGCTCTAGCCTCTTGCTTCTTTTTTCATGCTCTCCATTCAACTTCTTTTTGTTTTTTCTTTAAGGAGTCACACTTAAGATTCATATAACCTGGTATAGATTTACACTTTTTATTTATTTCATCAGGAAATGACTATGGTGATGGTAACTTGGGAACTCGAGGAATGGCATTGTTCCTGCATTCTCACCAGTGCAACTCCATATGTGAGAGCCTGAGTCTCACGCCATTTGACTTGGCCCCTTCTGAGATTGAAGTTAACAAAAATATTGCCAACCTTCAGGTACAAATTCTATGTCAGTACTGTAATTTTTAATGGATTAGTACTAAAGCAAGGATAAATTTACTCCTTTTATTTCATTCTTTCACACACCCTTTCAGACTTTTCCACCAGTCTCTGCAACATTTATTATAAATCTTGCCAAGAATGCTGTGTCATCAGCAAAAGTGCAATTGTGATACTCCTTTCTTGCAACACACCGGCAGTATCCCACCGAGGCGGGGTGGCCCAAAAGGAAAAACAGAAGTTTCTCCTTTTACATTTAGTAATATATACAGGAGAAGGGGTTACTAGCCCCTTGCTCCTGGCATTTTAGTTGCCTCTTACAACACGCATGGCTTATGGAGGAAGAATTCTGTTCCACTTCCCCATGGAGGTAAGAGGAAATAAACAAGAACAAGAACTAGTAAGAAAATAGAAGAAAACCCAGAGGGGTGTGTATATATATGCTTGTACATGTATGTGTAGTGTGACCTACGTGTAAGTAGAAGTAGCAAGACGTACCTGAAACCTTGCATGTTTATCAGACAGAAAAATGGTCACCAGCAATCCTACCATTATGCAAAACAATTACAGGCTTTTGTTTTACACTCACTTGGCAGGACGGTAGTACCTCCCTGGGCGGTTGCTGTCTACCAACCTACTACCTAAGAATTGTGATTCAAACTCTTTCATAAAACCCCAGTAAACTAAGGCTTTTAATTTAAAAATAAAATTAATTACTTTTAAAGAATATTGCTATTAATTTGTGTGTTACATGGGTCAGGGTTGAGGATTTCAGCTTTCTAACCAGAAAATGAACAAAAACAGATATTTGTGCATATTAAAGAGTCATTAGCTGTTTTGAGAATTTTAACATCATAAATTTACCCTTGTATTCTTGCAAAATACAGTACTACTCTTGCTAGATATTTTTGAAACTAATATTTTCTTGTCGTTTTTTACAGTAATAGTGTAGATATTTTTATTTCTTGTATAGAAGACTTTTTATAATGCATTATTTTTTTATTAACATGTTTAGGTGCAGTTGAATTGTGCAGTCACCCTGATCTATATACAACCTCTCCTCACTTAGTGACATACTCATTTACTGACGCCTCGGACATAAGATAGGCTCTCTGACTAATATTCATATCTATATAATGTATATTAGAGCTGATTTCCTCTATTCTGTTTATTGCAGTATACAGTACACTACTGTATAAACATTTAAAAATATACCAGAAATGTTATAAATGGTGCAAAGGTGACATTAAAACAATATCAGAGATAGTTGACACAAACCCACTACCATTATAGTATGCTCCTCTAATTCGTTTACTGATGTAGTCTTAGGAACGGAACTCCATCGTTGAGTGAGGAGAGGCTGTACTAACATTTTTACAAAGGTAAAACAAGAGCTGAGTGTGTGATGAGTTTTGATAGTACAGTGGTCCCTCAATAATCGTCTGGCCTGAAAGTCGTCCATTTCGGAAATCGTCGCGTTATTTCGTCTAAACATTGGCTCGCAAATGGTCTGTTAACTCGCTAATCGTCTTTCGTCCTGGACGCGTACTCACGACTCTGAGCGCCTCGACCTCCCTTCCCAGCCAGTGTGCCATTGTTTACCAGTGAGCAACGGTCCCCTCACGTGTTCATATGAAATATTTCATAATATTCCATTCATTTTAGTGCTTGCAAGTGCTAAATAAGCTACCATGGCTCCAAAGAAAGCTCCTAGTGCCAAGCCTTTGGTAAAGAAGGTGAGAAATACAATTGAATTTAAGAAAAACATCACTGAACAATATGAAAGGGGCGTACGTGTGGGCAAACTGGCCAGGATGTATAACAAAACCTGTACAACCATATCTTTCATCATAGCCAAGAAAAAGGAAATCAAGGAAGCTGTTGTTGCAAAGGGGGTAAATATGCTGACAAAAATGAGATCACCAGTACTCGAAGATTTTGAGAAGTTGTTATTGGTGTGGATAAACGAGAAACAATTAGCAGGAGATAGTCTTATGACGTCAATTATTTGTGAAAAGGCTAGGCAGTTGCATGATGATTTGGTAAAGAAATTGCCTGCAACTAGTGGTGATGTGAGTGAATTTAAGGCCAGCAAAGGCTGGTTTGAGAGATTTAAGAAGCGTACTGGCATACACAGTGTGATAAGGCATGCTGAGGCTGCCAGTTCAGTCCAAAAAGCGGCTGAAAAATTTGTGCATGAATTCAAGGAGTACATAGAGGCTGAAGGACTGAAACTTGAACAAGTGTTCAATTGTGACGAAACAGGCCTCTTTTGGAACAAAATGCCAAAGAGGACCTACATTACTAAGGAAGAAAAGGCACTGCCAGGACACAAGCCTATGAAAGACAGGCTGATGCTCATGTTCTGCACTAATGCTAGTGGGGATTTCAAAGTGAAGCCGTTACTAGTGTACCATTCTGAAAATCCCAGAGTGTTCAAGAAAAACAATGTTATGAAGAGTAAATTGTGTGTGTTTTGGAGATCTAATAATAAGGCATGGGTCACGAGGGAAATTTTCGTCGAGTGGTTCAATGAAGTGTTTGACCCTAGTGTGAAGAATTACCTCCTGGAAAAGAAATTGGATCTCAAGTGCCTCCTAGTAATGGACAGTGCACCTGCTCATCCTCCAAACTTGGATGACCTAATTCTGAAGGAGTTTGGATTCATCACAGTAAAGTTCTTGCCCCCGAATAGAGTCAATGGAGTCCTGTCTCGTAAGAAAAGTGTCCAGAGAGCTCTGTTTCTGGCGTCTCTTTAAAACTTCCCAAAAATGGGCCAAGACTCTGTCACTGTACAAGTTGCCGATATGGCTTGCAACATCCTTCTCAGGGTGATGTTTCTCCATAAATCTTTCCATCCTACCCCACATTTCAAAAATCTCCTTAATTTCTGAAGAAGTCACCTTCTTTCATCTCTCTTCCTCCTCCTCTGCAGGAAGATTCTGAGCTGCGATCTGTTGCTGTTCCTGCTGAAGCTCTTGCAGCTCCTCAGTGGTTAGCTCTTCGTTGTGGTCCTCCACCAACTCTTCCATATCCTCCAAACTCATATCCAAACCCATGGAACTCCACAATGCCACAATAGATTTCACAACTGACATAGGCTCATCAAGGTCAGCCACAAACCCTTCAGAATCTTGTGGACACAATCTGGCCACAATTTTCTCCAAGCAACAACAGCTTCCTTGATTTCCTTTTCCTTTGCCACGATGGAAAATATGGTTGTATGGGGTTTGTTATACATCTTGGCCAGTTCGCCCACACGTACGCCACTTTCATAATGTTCAATGATGTTTTTCTTAAATTCAATCGTATTTCTCACTTTCTTTACCAAAGACTTGGCACTAGGAGCTTTCTTTGGAGCCATGGTAGCTTATTTAGCACTTGCAAGCACTAAAATGAATGTAATATTATGAAATATTTCGTATGAACAAGTGAGGGGACCGTCGCTCACTGGTAAACAATGGCACACTAACTGGGAAGGGAGGCCGAGGCGACTCAGAGCCGTGAGTACGCGTCCAGGACGAATGACGATTAGCGAGTCAACCGACCATTTGCGAGCCAATGTTTGGACGAAAATAACGCAATGATTTCCAAAAAAGACAACTTTCGAGCCAGACGATTATCGAGGGACCACTGTACTTTTAAACACAGTATAAATATTACTTAGGCCCCGTTTTATAAATTTTAAGTATAGGTAGTTTAAAAGTGGTAAATCAGTGATAATTATCTCAGTCATTAACCTACACTTTTTGCATTATTTTGGCATAAGTTAGGAATTTGGTTTTATTTTCATGACACAGAGTAGGGGAGTTAGTAGTTGGGGAGATGGAGGTTTTGGGTAGATGGCGAGAATATTTTAAGGAACTTTTAAATGTTGATGAAGAAAGGGAGGTGGTAATTTCATGCACTGGCCAGGGAGGTATACCATCTTTTAGGAGTGAAGAAGAGCAAGATGTGAGTGTGGGGGAGGTGCGTGAGGCATTACATAGAATGAAAGGGGGTAAAGCAGCTGGAACTGATGGGATCATGACAGAAATGTTAAAAGCAAGGGGGGACATAGTGTTGGAGTGGTTGGTATTTTTGTTTAAAAAATGTATGAAAGAAGGGAATGTACCTAGGGATTGGCGGAGAGCGTGTATAGTCCCATTATATAAAGGGAAGGGGGACAAAAGAGATTGTAAAAATTATAGAGGAATAAGTTTACTGAGTATACCACGAAAAGTGTACGGTAGGGTTATTATTGAAAGAATTAGAGGTAAGACAGAATGTAGAATTGCGGATGAGCAAGGGGGTTTTAGAGTGGGTAGGGGATGCGAAGATCAAGTGTTTACATTGAAGCATATATGTGAGCAGTATTTAGATAAAGGTAGGGCAGTTTTTATTGCATTTATGGATTTAGAAAAGGCATAAGATAGAGTGGATAGGGAAGCAATGTGGCAGATGTTGCAAGTATATGGAATAGGTGGTAAGTTACTAAATGTTGTAAAGAGTTTTTATGAGGATAGTGAGACTCAGGTTAGAGTGTGTAGAAGAGAGGAAGACTACTTCCTGGTAAAAGTAGGTCTTAGACAGGGATGTGTAATGTCACCATGGTTGTTTAATATATTTATAGATGGGGTTGTAAAAGAAGTAAATGCTAGGGTGTTCGGGAGAGGGGTGGGGTTAAGTTATGGGGAATTAAATACAAAATGGGAAGTGACACAGTTACTTTTTGCTGATGATACTGTTTTATGGGAGATTCTGAAGAAAAATTGCAAATGTTAGTGGACGAATTTGGGAGTGTGGGTAAAGGTAGAAAGTTGAAAGTGAACATAGAAAAGAGTAAGGTGATGAGGGTATTAAATGATTTAGATAAAGAAAACTTTGATATCAAATTCGGGAGGTGGAGTATGGAAGAAGTGAATGTTTTCAGATATTTGGGAGTTGACGTGTCAGCGGAGGAATTTATGAAGGATGAGGTTAATCATAGAATTGATGAAGGAAAAAAGGTGAGTGGTGCATTGAGGTATATGTGGAGTCAAAAAATGTTATCTATGGAGGCAAAGAAGGGAATGTATGGAAGTATAGTAGTACCAACACTTATATGAATGTGAAGCTTGGGTTGTAAATGCTGCAGCGAGGAGGCGGTTGGAGGCAGTGGAGATGTCCTGTCTAAGGGCAATGTGTGGTGTAAATATTATGCAGAAAATTTGGAGTGTGGAAATTAGGAGAAGGTGTGGAGTTAATAAAAGTATTAGTCAGAGGGCTGGAGAGGGTTTGTTGAGGTGGTTTGGTCATTTAGAGAGAATGGATCAAAGTAGAATGACATGGAGAGCGTATAAATCTGTAGGGGAAGGAAGGCGGGGTAGGGGTCGTCCTCAAAAAGGTTGGAGGGAGGGGGTAAAGGAGGTTTTGTGGGCGAGGGGTTTGGACTTCCACCATTACGTATATACTTCTAAACTGTTGTATTCTGGGCACCTCTGCAAAAGCAGTGATTATGTGTGAGTGAGGTGAAAGTGTTGAATGATGTAAGTATTTTCTTTTTGGGGATTTTCTTTCTTTTTGGGTCACCCTGCCTCGGTGGGAGACAGCCAACTTGTTGAAGAAAAAAAAAATTATCCTCTTTTTAAATGATTGATCATAGTTCTGTAACTGTGCTGCATCTATGTTACTATTCCTTGTGTGAAGCACTAATTTGCTTCTCACATGAAAAGCTGCTATGATAATACGTCAATTTTTTGGGTAATGTTCTTTAGTATTTGCATGTTTAATGTTTGTTTTACCACCAGGTTTCCTGTAAAACAGTGGTTCGTGGGACTGAAGAAATTGTGGTGACACCAACAGAAGAAGAGAAAGAACACATTCAGGAATACATCCGCATGCGCTCCCTCTCTTCAGGATATGTTTCTGGAGATGATAAGCCAAGGGTCAAGCTTACCTCTATCAGTTCTACAGATTCTCTTGTAAGGAATTTCTTTATTTATATGAATGGCACAGAAAGTCTTGGGTAATAATAATTATTGTAACAGTAAATGCATTTCTTTCTTTTGGTCTCCATGCCTTGGTACAAAATGCTAGTGCATTTAACACTTTTTCATTTCAAATACAATTTTTTATTTTTTAACAAACTTGCCATATCTCACCAAGGCAGGGGCGACCTGAAAAGAAAAACAAAAGCTTCTCTTTTTAAATTTAGTAATTTATACAGGTAAAGGGGTTACTAGCCCCTTGCTCCTGGCATTTTAGCCGCTTCTTACAACACGTGTGGCTCATGGAAGAAGAATTCTGTTCCACTTCCCCATGGAGTCAAATGCAAATGTTTTTATAAATGCACATAGTGTCATCAGCTCACAACCAAAGTGCTTGGCTTGAGTCCTGTGCAGGTGAAAATGTTGGGCATGTTTCCTTGTATCTGTTGCCCCTGCTCACCTAGCTGTAAAACAGGTACTGTACTGGACAAAGTTTTCCCACAGGCACATAAAATAACACAAATTGAATGTAACTCTGCACATAGCACTTACCATAACCACAACAAAAATGTGTTACTCAACCTTCCTCTCACCTTAGGAGAAAAACAACCTGTAAACTAATATGAAAACAACACTTCCACTGACACCACCTTGGTAAATCTTCTGCTACCAGAAACATGCAACTGTTATTACCCCATACCAGTACATATAGTTCAAAGAATGTTTTGAGTTATTTTAGCAGTCAAATAACTCTCCCGGACAGGCCCCCATGTTACGTTAGTATATCTTATTACTTTGATAGTACGGTTCTCACTATATGTTCTAGTGTGCGGTAGCTTTTTACTTAATGGCCTTATCTGTCTAGGGTAATGCATACATTATGACTTATCATCCACAGTGTCTCTGATATCCTTCCACCAGCCCTCTTCACAGGTCATTTAAACTACTACTATAAAAATATAACTGTATTCTAAATTGATATGTACAGAATATACAATTACAGCACTCACATATTCAAAACATAAGTCTACACACTCCTTAGCTGCTCTCCCACATGGTGCATCTCAGCAACTTTGCCCTTCTCTCTTCATGACTAATCTCTGGGCTAACCAGTGTTTTGACACACTTTAGTCACCCTGGGTATGGTGGCCACAACTTAAGTTATAAAAACTCACCCCTGGAGGACACATAATGCCCAAAAGAAATAGAAGAAGGACCCAGAGGTCCTGCCAGCTTGAAGTCCACCAACAGAGAGAGAGAGAGGGAGAGGGAGGAGCCTAGCTAAGCTCCTCCCACACCCACCAAAAACAAAAGACTGTTGCTAAGCACAATTCTCCAGTTACCACAATTCTACCACACCTTAATTTTACTTTTACAAAAAGAATTGCAACTACTTATTTAAATTGTGTGTTTGTGTCTATAGTATAACCTATTATATTGAGAAAAACAGGCTTGACTCAGCTACCTTACAGCCATAAGAGTGATCTGCCCTTATGACATTTAGAGCTGAGTCCCCATCAATTCATTATAATTAGGTATCCCAGAGTAACTTACAGATACATTAATACATGTTGGGTCCCATAGCCCCATAACAGTGACCCAAAAAAAGAAAAAATGTAGAGGTTTTTCTTCTTTTTATGCTTAATAATTTATACAGGAGAAGGGGTTACTAGCACCCTTGCTTCTGGCATTTTAGTTGCCTTTTATGCCACACATGGCTTACAGAGGAAGGAGTCTTCTCCATTTTTCTATGGAGATAATACAATACTAGAGGATTTTAAGCTATGGTGTGAGTTTAGATTTGAGCTGCTTTTATAGATGTTAGTTAATTCTAAGTATATTTCTTTCATTGCCTGTAATTATTTTACATGATGGTAGGATTGCTGGTGTCCTTTTTTCTGTCTCATAAACATGCAAGATTTCAGGTACGTCTTGCTACTTCTACTTACACTTAGGTCACACTACACATACATGTACAAGCATATATATACACACACACCCCTCTGGGTTTTCTTCTATTTTCTTTCTAGTTCTCATTCTTGTTTATATCCTCTTATGTCCATTGGGAAGTGGAACAGAATTCTTCCTCTGTAAGCCATTCGTGTTGTAAGAGGCAACTAAAATGCCGGGAGCAAGGGGCTAGTAACCTCTTCTCCTGTATATATTACTAAATGTAAAAGGAGAAACTTTTGTTTTTCCTTTTGGGCCACCCTGCCTCGGTGGGATACGACCGGTGTGTTGAAAGAAAGAAGAAACATACAAGATTTCAGGTACATCTTGCTACTTCTACTTACACTTAGGTCACACTACACATACATGTACAAGCATATATATACACACCCCTCTGGGTTTTCTTCTATTTACTTTCTAGTTCTTGTTCCTGTTTATTTCCTCTTATCTCCATGGGAAGTGGAACAGAATTCTTCCTCCGTAAGCCATGCATGTTGTAAGAGGCGACTAAAATGTTAGAGGCAAGGGGCTAGTAACCCCTTCTCTTGTATAAATTACTAAATTTAAAAAGAGAAACTTTTGTTTTTCTTTTTGGACCACCCTGCCTTGGTGGAATACGGCCGGTTTGTTGAAAAAAAAAAATTCTTTAATTGTATTGATCTGTTTATTAAAAACTATACTATTGGCATAAGACCACACTCACAGTTGTTATTCAACATGGGTATGATTGGTATCGTTGAGAAGTGGGACGAGTGGCTGGGTTGTCACGGGAGGGCCTGATAGTTTTGAGAAGTGGAACATATTTTATCTCAGCTTTTTATTGTATTACCCTCAAGGAAGGTTCCTTGATGCTAGTGAGGGGCTCTTATGCCATGACATTAGACCTACCCTTTCCTTCCTTGGACTGATCCTGAATGCTTTCCATTCCTCCAAATGCTATATGACTCCTACAAATTTAGTGCTGTCCTATTAACCTATTAATTTTTTTAAACTCTGGCAGTCTCTCACTAAGGTAGGATTTCCCCCCCCCCCCATACACACACAAAAAAAAAATTGTATCATCACTCAGCCACTACCAGAAATCTCAGTTCAAATGACCCTCTGAGCTGCAATATCCCCACCCCTCCTTCAGAGTGCAGACACTGTAAATCCTACCCCCAGAACTTAACTGTAAATGTGGCTAACTAGTTTCAGTGAATCCCTTCATAAATATTACACTGTTCATACTACAGCAGCCCATCAAGCTAGAAAAAACACTCATTGCCATTTACTCCAATCTAATGTGCTCACATAAGTCTGCTAGATGTTCAAGCCCCTAGCACTCAAAACTTCCTTTACCCCTTCCTGGAATAACCCTTAGTCCTTCCTTCAACCCCAGATTTATAAACTCTCTTAGTCATCCTGCTTTGCTCCATCCTCACTAAATGCCCAAAACACTTCAACAGCCTTTCCTCAGCCCTCTACCTTTAGTAACCTTACTCCATCTTATTCCTGTGCTCTGAATTTTATGCATATTGTTCACACCACATGTTGCTCTCAAACATGACATCACTGCTTCCCCAATGAATGTAATAATAATAATAATAATAATAACAACAATAATAATAATAATAATAATAATAATAATAATAATAATAATAGCAGTAGTACTAGTAGGTTGGTAGACAGCAACCACCCAGGGAGGTACTACCATCCTGCTGAGTGAGTGCAAAATGAATGCCTGTAATTGTTTTACATGATGGTAGGATTGCTGGTGTCTCTTTTTCTGTCTCATAAACATGCAAGAGTTCAGGTACGTCTTGTTACTTCCACTTACACTTAGGTCACACTGCACATACATGTTTTTTTTTTTCTCAACAAACTGGTGGTATCCCACCAAGGCAGGGTGACCCAAAAAGAAAAACGAAAGTTTCCCTTTTTTAAATTTAGTAATTTATACAGGAGAAGAGGTTACTAGCCCCTTGCTTCCAGCATTTTAGTCGCATCTTACGACACGCATGGCTTACGAAGGAAGAATTCTGTTCCACTTCCCCATGGAGATGCACATACATGTACATGTTTATATATACACACTCATCTAAGTTTTCTTTGATTTCATTTTAATTGTTCTTGTTCTTATTGCATTTCCTTTTATATCCATGGGGAAGTGGAATAAGAATCTTTCCTCCCTAAGCCATGCGTGTTGTAAAAGTCAACTAAGATGCCGGGAACAATGGGCTAGTAACCCCTTTGCCTGTATAGCCTACTAAAAAGAAAAAGAAGAAAACCATCAAAGTGGGATGTTTGAATGTGCGTGGATGTTGTGCGAGTGATAAGAAAGATGATTGTGGATGTTATGAATGAGAAGAAGCTGGATGTTCTGGCTTAAGTGAAACAGCTGAGGGGAGTGGGAGAGTTTCAGTGGGGAGAAATAAATGGGATTAGGTCAGGGGGTTTCAAATAGAGTTAGAGATAAACGAGTAGCAATAATGTTGAAGGATAAGTTATGGCAGAAAAAGAGGGAATATAAATGTATTAATTCAAGGATTATGTGGAGTAAAATAAGGGTTGGATGTGAAAAGTGGGTTATAGTAAGCATTTATGCACCTGGAGAAAAGAGAAGTGTAGAGGAGAGAGAGAGATTTTAGGAAATGTTGAGTATGTGCTTGGGGAGTTTTGAACCAAGTGTGAGAGTACTTGTGGTTGGGTAAAAATTTTGTGGAGGAAGTAGTAGGTAAATTTGGGGTGCCAGGGGTAAATGAAAGTGGGGGACCTTTAATTGAGCTATATGTAGAAACAGGTTTGGTAATAAGTAATACATATTTTATGAAAAGAGGATAAATAAGTATGCAAGGTATGATATAGCATGTACTCACCTAATTGTGGTTGCAGGGGTCGAGACTCAGCTCTATTAGATTTTGTATTGGTAGATAAAAGGGTGATGAGCAGGCTTCAGGATGCTTATAAAAGGGAAACTGATATATCGGATCATTATTTAGAGGTAAGACAGAATGTAGGATTGCGGATGGGCAAGGAGGTTTCAGAGTGGGTAGGGGATGTATAGATCAAGTGTTTACATTGAGGCATATATGTGAACAGTATTTAGGTAAAAGTAGGGAAGTTTTTATTGCATTTATGGATTTAGAAAAGGCATATGATAGAGTGAATAGGGGAGCAATGTGGCAGATGTTGCAAGTATATGGAATAGGTGGTAAGCTACTAAATGCTGTAAAGAGTTTTTATGAGGATAGTGAGGCTCAGGTTAGGGTGTGTAGAAAAGAGGGAGACTACTTACCAGTAAAAGTAGGTCTTAGACAGGGATGTGTAATGTCACCATGGTTGTTTAATATATTTATAGATGGGGTTGTAAAAGAAGTAAATGCTAGGGTGTTCGGGAGAGGGGTGGGATTAAATTATGGGGAATCAAATACAAAATGGGAATTGACACAGTTACTTTTTGCTGATGATACTGTGCTCATGGGAGATGCTAAAGAAAAATTGCAAAGGTTAGTGGATGAGTTTGGGAGTGTGTGTAAAGGTAGAAAGTTGAAAGTGAACGTAGAAAAGAGTAAGGTGATGAGGGTATCAAATGATTTAGATAAAGAAAAATTGGATATCAAATTGGGGAGGAAGAGTATGGAAGAAGTGAATGTTTTCAGATACTTGGGAGTTGACATGTCAGTGGATGGATTTATGAAGGATGAGGTTAATCATAGAATTGATGAGGGAAAAAAGGTGAGTGGTGCGTTGAGGTATATGTGGAGACAAAAAACTTTATCTATGGAGGCAAAGAAGGGAATGTATGAAAGTATAGTGATACCAACACTCTTATATGGGTGTGAAGCTTGGGTTATGAATGCAGCAGCGAGGAGGCGGTTGGAGGCAGTGGAGATGTCCTGTCTAAGGGCAATGTGTGGTGTAAATATTATGCAGAAAATTCGGAGTGTGGAAATTAGGAGAAGGTGTGGAGTTAATAAAAGTATTAGTCAGAGGGCTGAAGAGCGGTTGTTGAGGTGGTTTGGTCATTTAGAGAGAACTGATCAAAGTAGAATGACATGGAGAGCGTATAAATCTGTAGGGGAAGGAAGGCAGGGTAGGGGTCGTCCTTAAAAAGGTTGGAGGGGGGGGGTAAAGGAGGTTTTGTGGGCGAGGGGCTTGGACTTCCAGCAAGCGTGCATGAGCGTGTTAGATAGGAGTGAATGGAGACGAATGGTATTTGTGATCTTACAATCTGTTGGAGTGTGAGCAGGGTAATATTTAGTGAAGGGATTCAGGGAAACCGGTAATTTTTATATAGCCTGACTTGAGTCCTGGAAATGGGAAGTACAATGCCTGCACTCTAAAGGAGGGGTTTGGGATATTAGCAGTTTGGAGGGATATGTTTGTGTATCTTTATAGGTATATGCTTCTAAGCTGTTGTTTTCTGAGCACCTCTGCAAAAACAGTGATTATGTGTGAGTGAGGTGAAAGTGTTGAATGATGATGAAAGAATTTACTTTTTGGGGATTTTCTTTCTTTTTTGGGTCACCCTGCCTTGGTGGGAGACAGAAAGTATTTTCTTTTTGGGGATTTTCTTTCTTTTTTGGGGCACCCTGCCATGGTGGGAGACGACCGACTTGTTAAAAAAAAATTATTTAGTTGTAGCTACAGTTAGAGTAAGAGGTAGATGGGACGAAAGGAAAATGGAAACAACAATTAAGAGAGAGGTGAAAGTGTATAAACTTAGGGAGGAGGAAGTTAGGGTGAGATATAAGCAACTGTTGGCAGAAAGGTGGGCTAGTGCAAGTATGAGTAGTTGAGGGGTTGAAGAGGGTTGGAATAGTTTAAAAAATGCAGTATTAGAATGTGGGACAGAAGTTTGTGGCTATAGGAGGGTGGGTGCATGAGGAAAGAGGAGTGATTGGTGGAATGATGAAGTAAAGGGTGTGATAAAAGTGAAAAAGGTAGCTTATGAGAGGTTTTGACAAAGCAGAAGTATTATAAGAAGAATAGAGTATATGGAGAGTAAAAGAAAGGTGAAGAGAGTGGTGAGAGAGCACAAAAGGAGAGCAGATGATAGAGTGGGAGAGGCACTGTCAAGAAATTTTAATGAAAATAAGAAAAAATTTTGGAGTGAGATAACAAGTTAAGAAAGCCTAGTGAACGAATGGATTTGTCAGTTAAAAACAGAGTAGGGGAATTAGTAGATGGGGAGCTGGAGGTATTGGGTAGATGGCGGGAATATTTTGAGAAACTTTTAAATGTTGATGAAGAAAGGGAGACGGTCATTTCATGCACTGGCCAGGGAGGTATACCATCTTTTAGGAGTGAAGAAGAGCAGGATGTGAGTGTGGGGGAGGTGCATGAGGCATTACGTAGAATGAAAGGGGGTAAAGCAGCTGGAACTGACAGGATCATGACAGAAATGTTAAAAGCAGGGGGGGATATAGTGTTGGAGTGGTTGGTATTTTTGTTTAATAAATGTATGGAAGAGGGAAAGGTACCTAGGGGTTGGCAGAGAGCATTTATAGTTCTTTTATATAAAGGGAAGGGGGCCAAAAGAGATTGTAAAAATTATAGGGCAATAAGTTTACTGAGTGTACCAGGAAAAGTGTACTGTGGGGTTATTATTGAAAGAATTTGAGGTAAGACAGAAAATAGGATTGCGGATGAGCAAGGAGGCTTTAGAGTGGGTAGCGGATGTGTAGATCAAGTGTTTACATTGATGCATGTATGTGAATAGTATTGGCAGATGTTGCAAGTACATGTATATGGAACAGTGTGGCAGATGTTGCAAGTATATGGAATAGGTAGTAAGTTACTAAATGCTGTAAAGAGTTTTTTGAGGATAGTGAGGCCCAGGTCAGGATGTGTAGAAGAGAGGGAGATAACTTCCCGGTAAAAGTAGGTCTTAGACAGGGATGTGTAATGTCACCATGGTTGTTTAATATATTTATGGATGGGGTTGTAAAATAAGTAAATGCTAGGGTGTTGGGGTGAGGGGTGGGATTAAATTATGGGGAATCAAATACAAAATGGGAGTTGACGCAGTTACTTTTTGCTGATGATACTGTGCTTATGGGTGATTCTAAAGAAAAGTTGCGAAGGTTAGTGGATGACTTTGGTAGGGTGTGTAAATGTAGAAAGTTGAAAGTGAACATAGATAAGAGTAAGGTGATGAGGGTATCAAATGATTTAGATAAAGAAAATTTGGATATCAAATTGGGGAGAAGGAGTATGGAAGAACTGAATGTTTTCAGATATTTGGGAGTTGATGTGTAAGCGGATGGGTTTATGAGGGATGAGGTTAACCATAGAATTGATGAGGGAAAAAAGGTGAGCGGTGCATTGAGGTACATGTGGAGACAAAAAAACGTTATTACTGGAGGCAAAGAAGGGAATGTATGAAAGTATAGTGGTACCAACACTCTTATATGGGTGTGAAGCTTGGGTTGTAAATGCTGTAGCAAGGAGGAGGTTGTAAGCATTGGAGATGTCCTGTCTAAGGGCAATGTGTGGTGTAAATATTATGGAGAGAATTTGAAGTGTGGAAATTAGAAGGTGTGGAGTTAATAAAAGTATTAATCAGTGGGCTGAAGAGGGGTTGTTGAGGTGGTTTGGTCATTTAGAGAGAATGGATCAAAGTAGAATGACATGGAGAGCGTATAAATCTGTATGGGGAAGGAAGGTGGGGTAGGGGTCGTCCTCGAAAAGGTTGGAGGGAGGGGGTAAAGGAGGTTCTGTGACCGAGGGGCTTGGACTTCCAGCAACCTTGCATGAGCATGTTAGATAGGAGTGAATGGAGACGAATGGTTTTTGGGGCCTGACGAGCTGTTGGACTGTGAGCAGCGTAATATTTAATGAAGGGATTCAGGGAAACCAGTTATTTTTATATAGTCAGACTTGAGTCCTGGAAATGGGAAGTAAAATGCCTGCATTTTAAAGGAGGGTTTGGGATATTGGTAGTTTAGTGGGATGTGTAATAGGACGGTATATATTTAATTGGGGCCCTGATATTGAAATTATTTCAGGTCACTTTTTTATATTGTATCTTTATATATGTTTCTGAACTGTTGTATCTGGGCGCCTCTGGAATAACAGTGATTATGTATGAGTGAGGTGAAAGTGTTGAATGATGATGAAAGTATATTTGTTTTGGGGATTTTCTTTCTTTTTGGGTCACCCTGCCTAGGTGCAGGAGACAACTGACTCGTTAAAAAAAAGTAATACATTTTTTTTTTTTTTTTTTTTTTTTTTAAACACGTCAGCTGTCTCCCACCGAGGCCGGGTGACATTCTTTCTTCTTCTTTCAACAAGCCAGGCGTATACCACCGAAGCAGGGTGGCCCAAAAAGAAAAACAAAAGTTTCTCTTTTTAACTTTAGTAATGTATACTGGAGAAGGGGTTACTAGCCCCTTGCTCCCGGCATTTTAATCACCTCTTTCGACATGCATGGCTTATGGGGTAAGAATTCTGTTCCACTTCTCCATAGAGAGGTGACATTCTTATAGTCATCTAATACAAGATACATATTTATAGGACTTAGGTATTATTTTATTTAATTGTTTCTGTTTTTCCAGGAGAGTGATGACTTTCCTTTGATGTCTGAAAGTGAAGATTCCATAGTGGATTCTGCACGTCAGGAACACAGACAGCGACAGTTATCATATAATGCTAGAGTGCGACTTGACTCAATGACAGATTCTGGTACTGACACTGAAACCAAAGAAAAAGACCTCCTTCGGGTATGTATCTGATAACATGCTGTAAATATAATTAAATGTACTTTATTATTGTCATAATTTTAATTGTCATACAAGTGAATTTGATCAATGCTTGGTAGTGAAAAGGAATGAATTTTATTATAAATTTAAGATTATTTATCTTTTGTGTGCATTAATGTAATTTCAGTTGTGTGTTACAGTAGACTGTTGATTAACACGGTAGTTATGTTCCTGAAAATTGAGTACAAGACAAAATTGTGTAAAACATACTGAAGAACTTACAGGAAGCATAGGGTTACATTCCTTGTGCCCCAATAATGGCAAACAAACTATTTTAGGTCTCCAAATTGTAAAAAAAAAAAAAAGATTATGTAACTGTAGTTCCTTGTTATGTATTATGTTTAATGCATTGCTTAAGACTACAAATGTTACAGAAATAATATTTCTTACCCTAAATTGTGGTTGCTGTTATATGTTAAAAATTCTGAACAGATTTGAGAGGGATAAATAAGTAAATTTATTTAGGCACAGGTACACATAAGTGCAATTATTATACATAGTATAAATTACCTAGAATAACCCAAAAAAAGTCAGACAGAGTTACTTATTTCCATTGAGGTCTTGGGGTGCTGTGGCTCTACTGGACTTAGGTGGAAGGTTGTGGATTGTTTGCCAAGATGGTTGGTTGAGGCTTTGGCACTAAAGTCATTGGTTGTACTGGAGTAATGAGAAATTCCATAATGTGTCTTTGTTCTCTTTTTACCCTGCAAAACTTTATACAGCTGATGGTAAGGCATAGTCAGCTGCTCTAGGCCTCAGAAGAACATATTCACTGTAGTTGTCATTGCTTGTTGATACTGAAGTGTGTGGGGAGGGTTGATGTGACCCTGTACAATACATGTGCAAACATATGACAGGCTATCACCTGCTATCAGCTATCACTTGCATATATCAGTAAAAAATACCATATTTTAACAGCAAGACACAATTGTTTACTAAATAAATGTGTCCAGAGTAATACCCACCATAATATAAATGCAAGCTATCCAAGAAAACATGAAAAAATTATAAAATCATGAGAAAAGCTTCTTGAGGTTCTGCGCTTGTTATTGTTATTGCTGGGTTGAGGGCTGTGATGGCCCAAGGGCCGTTGTGTCCATCTCCGCTGTGAAATTAACTACTAAACTGCTTGTTGCAAATATAACTGTTTAGTAGATATTAATAATAAAGGAATGTAATAAAATTAACCCTTTCACTATCGGTGATGTATTAGTACGGCTTACAAGCCAGTGTTGGTGCCGTATTTAAACATCAAAATTCTAGCGGCTTCCAGTCTTGTAGAAGAAAGCTGGTAGGCCGGCATATGAGAGAATGGGTCTGAGTGGTCAGTGTGAGCAGTATAAAAAAAATCCTGCAGCATGCAGTGCATAATGAGAAAAAAAAACTCAGATCGTGGTTTTGGTTTAAAACAGCAACTTTGCGGTGTATTTTTGTATGGTATTTATGGTTGTATTCTTGTTTTCCTGGTCTCAATTGATAGAATGGAAGACATTACAGAAATAGAGATGATTTTGATTGGTTTCACGGTGAAAAGTACCTTGAAATTGAGCTCAAAGTAGCAGAAATGTTCGATTTTTGCCAATGTTCCAATATGTGTCCAGTTGGCCAGTCTAATATGCAGTCATGAATGGGTTGGCATTATTTATACAATTATTACAATAATGCAGTAGTCTGCATAGCAGTAAATTTTCTATTTTTTGTGCGAATAAAAATTCAAAATGGAAAGCAACTGTAATATAAGAGTGGCCTGGAGATGTGACTAATGAACAGAGAAAATGTTATTTTAGTGCCAGGAATGTCTGCATTGTTTATTCTGGACCCCATTTTGAAATTGGCATCTTTTGAAATTTGTGTGAAATTGGCCAAGTTGCCAACTTCTGACCACTTTATTGGCTAGTTGAAATAAGTAAATGGGCATTTTCTTATATCCAGTTGATAGAACAAATTGAGTTCTAGTGAAATAGCTATGAGTATAGTCAACTGAAACAATGGAATTGGCTGAAAATAGAGCTCAAAGTGGGCGAAATCTCCGATACGTAAATATTGCCCAGACCGCTAACTTTGCAAGAGCATAATTTCGTAAGTTTTCCATCAAATTTCCTACTTTTGATGTCATTACCACTGGGAAAAGATTATTATTTCATTTTTTTTTTTAATATTGTTCGACAGTGAGAGTAAGTTTGTGAGCAAGGGTCTCGACACTGAAAGGGTTAAGATTGCCCTTGGATTTTGAGCAATAAAAATAGCAGTGGAGAAGAGGGTGGGTTCAGATGCTTAACCTTTTGACTGTTTTGGTCATATATATGCATCTTACGAGCCACCATTTTTTATGTATATGTACTCATAAATTGTAGTGGCTTCAAATCAAGCAGGAGAAAGCTGGTAGGCCCACATGTGAGAGAATGGGCCTGTGTGGTCAGTGTGCACCATATAAAAAAATCCTGCGGCACGCAGTGCATAATGAGAAAAAAAACTCCACGTTTTTTTTTTTTTATAATTAAAATGCCGAATCTGTTGTCTATTTTCGTATATTATTTATAGGTGTATTCTCATTTTCTTGGTCTCATTTGATAGAATGGAAAGCATATTATAGAAATAGCGGTGATTTTAATTGGTTTTACTATGAAAAGGACCTTGAAGTGCAGCTCAAAGTAGAGGAAATGTTTGATTTTTGCCGATGTTCAAAAGTAAACAAATGATGTCATTTTCCAATAAATGTCCAAGTAGCCATTCTAATATGCAGTCATGAATGGGTTGACATTATTTATACAATTATTACAATATTCCAGTAGTCTGCATAACAGTAAATCTTCTATATTTTGTGTGAATAAAAATTCAAAATAGAAAGCAAGGGTAATATCAGAGGGGCCTGGAGACGTGACTGATGAACAAAGAAAATGTTATTTTAGAGCCAGGAATGTCTGCATTGTTCATTGTGGACCCTATTTTGAAATTGTCATTTTTTTTTAATTTTCGTGAAATTGGCCAAATTGCAAATTTCTGACCACGTTATTGGGTACTTGAAATCTGTAAATGGGCAGTTTCTTGTACTCAGTCGATAGAAAAAATGAATTTCTAAAGAAATAGCTATGAGTTTGGTCGAATGGAACAATGGAATTAGCCGAAAAAAGGGCTCAAAGTGGGCGAATTCGCCGATTCATAAATATTGCCGAGGTCGCTAACTTCGCGAGAGCGTAATTCTGTCAGTTTTCCATCAAATTTCATTCTTTTGGTGTCATTACAATTGGGAAAAGTTTATCATTTCATGATAAAAATAATTTTTTTTTCTTTCTTTTTTCTTTAAATTTTGCGACACCAGGAGACACCTCAGGATTTGGAGTTGCGACAGTCAAGGGGTTAAACATAGGTAGCCCTTAACCCGTTAACTTTGTGAAATCTTGGAAAAAAAAATTACTGTATGTGTGGGAAAATTTTGAACAATAATAAAAAAAAAACCTTACAGATTGATAGAGTTTGTTTTTCCGAATTGAATAAGACTAAAATGAGCGAAATCTGAGAATAGTTTTTTAATTGCTTTTAATGTTTTACATTATATATATACAGTGGAACCCTAGTTTTCATCTTTAATCCATTCCAGAAGGTCGGTCGAAATCCGAAATGGACGAAAACCAAAGTAATATTTCCCATAAGAAATAATGTAAATCCAATTAGTCCATTCCAGACACCCAAAAATATTAACAAAAAATACATTTTATAGAGAATAACTATAGTTTTACATACAGAAAACATTGAGAAATAAATATAAATGATTAATTTTAATGGATAAATGAATAAATGAACGAATTTGATGGATGAGTTTCTAGTAGTGTGCATGTGTATGTTTGTAATTTCTAGTATCTGAGGTGTAACTACAGTATTAAATTACTGCTGAACTGTTGTATCTGAGCACCTCTGTAAAGACAGTGATTATGTATGAGGAGATGAAAGTGTTGAATGGTGATGAAAGTATTTTCTTTTTGGGGATTTTCTTTCTTTTTGGGTCACCCTGTCTTAGTGGGAGACGGCTGATTTGTTGAAAAAAAAAATGAACATTTAAATCACTTTCACCTTTATTGAAGAGACTTATTGGCGTATGGAAGATGGTGAGGAGGGGAGAGGGAGAAGAGGTTATTGTTTGGAAGGGAAATCCCCCTCCATAAGTATTTCAGGTATCAAAGCCCTGTCCGGGGTTACTTTCCTTCTTTGTCTTTTACTGGCATTAGGACCTGCTTGCAACAGCTTTGTTAGGGTGATATTTCTCCACCAACTCTTCCACATCTTAGCTACATGAAATTTAATGCGGCCCAGAGCCATATTATTACCATCGTCATACCATGTTTACTGAGTTTAATCGTTTCTAATGACTACCTTTAGATGCCAGCATAAACAAAGGGAGAAGTAATAAATAATTCATGCTGAGAATTGTAAACAAAAGCGTTATGTATTAACCCCTTGACTGTCGCAACCCCAAATCCTGAGGTGTCTCCTGGTGTTGCAAAATTGCCAAAAAAAAAAAGTTATTTTTTCTTATGAAATGGTAGAGAATCTTTGCCCAGTTGTAATGACACCAAAAAAAACGAAATTTGATGGAAAACTTACGGAATTACGCTCTTGCGAAGTTAGCGACCTCGGCGATATTTACAAATCGTTGATTTTGCCCACTTTGAGCCCTATTTTTGGCTAATTCCATTGTTCCAGTTGACCAAACTCATAGCTATTTCTTTAGAACTCCATTTTTTTTCTATCGAATAAGTACAAGAAACCGCCTATTTACTGATTTCAACTACCTAATAACATGGTCAAAGATTTGCAATTTGGCCAATTTCACGAAAATTAAAAAATGTGACAATTTCAAAATAGGGCTCCAGAATGAACAATGCAGACCTTCCTGGATCTAAAATAACATTTTATTTGTTCATCAGTCACATCTCCAGGCCCCTCAAAAAATAGAAGATTTACTGTTATGCAGACTACTGGAATATTGTAAT